GCTGCTTTGATCCCAACTCCGCGATCTGAAATGACACAAATTTTTTCCCTCGTGATAACATGTGCACGTAAATTTCGGAGAAAAAAAACCCAAGAATTTGTATATTCTCCTTCGACAAGAGCAAAAGCAACTGGAAGAATGTTGCGATTGCCATCTTGGACAACTGCCAATAATAAAACTTGCTTGTATTTTCCATACAAGAAAGTCTCGTCGATCTGGACCACAGGCTTGCAGTATTTGGCAGCATTAACGCACTGTGGGTAACTCCAAAAAACATGGTAGAATTGGCATCGATCGCGAAGAACTCGATCATTATGGTATGTATAGGAGGTTTCAAAGTCCACAATTGTCCCAGGATTCAACGTCCGCACCAGCCTAAACCAACCTGGAAGTTCGTTGTAAGATGCATCCCATTCTCCATGAAGTTTGACAATGGCATTTTGTTTTGCCAACCAAGCTTTTTTATAGGAGACAGTGTACCCATACTACGATTGTATAGCTGAAATCAACACTGCAACAACTATATGAGAGCTTACTTTTACCATGGGCATGATGGCTTGGCATATCACTTCAGAGTCCAAGTTCGGATGATCTTGGTTGACCCCTCCAGCACAATATGTGTGAGGACCGTTATATACTGTTAGTTCCCATATATTTTTTTTCCTCTTCATTTTCGATACGCGAACCATTCAATTGCATCCGTTTTCGCGTCGGGCACAGTAGCATACATATTTTTCGGTCGTCGATCGGTTGACTCTGGACTGAACATAATTATGGATATTGTAATTTTTGATAGCCATCATCGCTTCTTCTTTGCTTGAAAACTCCATGCCTAAAGATAACTCACAATTATTTATTGATTAGTAATATCCATAGTCACCGAGATGAGGCATATCCGCAAATTCTGGCCCGTACATTGCACCATAATCAGCTTCATACATGTGTGCAGGAGGGTCAGTTTGTGCCATATTTCCTGGAACTTCATCATCATCGGAGTTGAATTGCGGTGATTCTGGGTGAATGAATAGTCCAGTCTCAGCATCATCCGCACCAGGCTCACGAAGCGGTTCTTCTGGTGGAGATGATGGTTCCTCCATGCTCTCCATATTTAGGTCGAAGAACCTACTACTTGCACGCCTTCCCCTTGAACTGGAAGGCATATCGACATTGAGATCGAAAAAGCTCGCAGTCGAATGCCTCCCCCTGGAGCTTGAAGCCATCGTGTCAAATGGAAACTGCACAGATGGTTGTATCGATGGCATCTCCATATGGTCAAAGAAATTTGCAGATGAATGCCTTCCCCTTGAACTGGACGCGATGTTGCCATACGGATTGTTCGTGGACCCACCTCAGTACATATCGTAAAGAGTTGCGGATGAATGTCTCCCCATTATGGCATTAAAATCATTGCACATTATTGTAGCGGGCTGTCAACTTGATCAACTTGTTCAGCCAACCCATAGTGTGAGCTTAAAGATTGACCTCGAACAGCACGCACTTGAACAAAATGTGCATACATCTCAATAGCGACGTCTGAATAATTACTTTGAGCTTCAACCATCATTTGAACATCATCATTGTTCGAAAGTTCAAACGCTATATAAGTTAATGACAACAATGATGTTGGAAATCTGTACTGCAACGACGATATTCTTCTGTTACTTCCAACATGAATCTTCCTCGAAATCTTCGTTATTAGCTCCTCAAGAGTTATGTTTCTCTTGAATGATATTTTAACACGCTCATTTGATACGAAAAAAACGCCAGTTTCATCTTCTCGAATTTCACCATCATAATAAACAATAGCTGAAAGTCGCGCCATTCTTTGAGTTTAAAAGTGCAGCAATATTATATCTGTAAAAAAAATAACTTAAACAAACCTGATTAAATAAATTATATATGAACGAAAATATAACACAATAAATTTTTTACACATCAACGTAAATAATTTAAATAATATAATTTTATATTATTACCTGCACCGCAAAACTATTTCGACGTATGCTCCCGCTTTTCAATTTTACAAACAGAAAAATTAATTGAAAATAATTAGTATAATAGTTTTTCAAATAATGATAATAAACAATAAGTATAATTAAAAAATTACAACAAAATTACCTTATAACGAAAAATCGCACGAACTTCTAAATCAAATTTGAGAAGTTTGCGAGAATTATTACTCGTTGACGGAATTGTTGTATTAATTTATAAGAAAGGAGAGATGTGAGCCGGAGGAGTGTATTTATAAGCATATAAGGCGTGGTACCTGCACCCCGCTATATGTAATTATTCAGATAAAATATATAGCGCGGATCAGGGACCGCGTTAAATATAATTTTGGTACGGTGTATAACGCGGCCCCTGATCCGCGCTATACCCCTACGTGGCATATAGCGCGGATCAGGGGGCGCGCTATACACACGTGGCGCCAGATCACGGTATATCGCGGGGCAGGGGGCGCGCTATACCCACGTGGCGCCAAATCAGCATATAGCACGGTGCAGGGGGCGCGCTTTTCTGCTAAGGGTGTTAGATCGAGAAATATAGTCTGACCGGTGTTAGATCGGTAATAATACCGATCACCGGTGATATACCGGGAAAATAGCCTCTTTTTTTGTCCATTGGTGAAAAAGTTACTCTATGATTAAGGCTGTAAATGATATAAGACAGATCTTGAGTTACTCGAGATTAATTCGGTCAAAGTTTTATCAACACTCGAATTGAATAAACTCGAGCTCGAACTCGACTTGAATTCTTAACAATCTAAAACGAGCTACTTAATACTCGTCTCGAAAAGCTCAAGAGATACTCGAAAAAAATGTTATATTATAATTTTAGATTTTTTAAAATTAAATTATTAAAAATATATTAAAAATACATTATTGATAATTATAAATTTTTAAAAATATATTTTTAAATGTAATATAAGATTTTTGTAGGTTCAAATTCGAGCTTGAGTCTCGAGCTTCAATTGAGCTCCTGAAATATTTTTGAGTTCGAGCCTTTTAGAGTTCGAGCCTTTTAGAGTTCGAGTCGAGTTTCAATATTATATTTCGAGTTAGAGCTGAGCTTGATAATTTTTAGCTCGCGAGTTTTCGAGTCGAGCCTAATTTTAAACATTTTGAGTTCGAGTCGAGATCAACAATACTAAAATTCGACTCGATTCGTTTACAGCCTTATCTATGATTGTTAAAGTAAATAAAAAAATTACATAAATAATTACTAATATTTAAGTAACTTTTTATTTTTTTTACTAAAGTTTTAAAAGTAACACAACTAATCATAAATATTATCGTTTTATAATAAATCAGTTACTCAATATTATCGTTAATCACTTACGTGACCCATTAATCACCTCTTCAACCTTAAATAAAAACACAATCTCATTTTATTCATATTTATTTTAAAAGTCATCTTCAAGTTCCGAGATGTTACATTCTCCCCTCTTCAAACTTACAACCGTTGTTATCATTATCGTCACTTATAACAATTTCATAAATTATATGCATCAACATTAAACTATCTTTGTTTTCTAGTAACATGTAATTTATCCATGATCATAAATGTATCATACATGCAACAACATTGAAGTATCATCATTAACATTTGTCATATAACTTCATAAATGATCAGACATATCATGTACGCCACAACATTAAATATGTCATCATTTTAATATATTTTTATTCATATCATAGCGAGTATACTTAGGGATGGGCATGGGTTGAGTTGGGTCTAGTTTTTGGTTCACCTGACTCGGCCCAAGAACAATGAGTCTTCCACCCGACCTGATCAAAACAAGTTTTCACCCGACCTGATATATAACTTAAAAACCCGACTCGATTCGAAATAATAAAAAATTATTTTATTCAATAAAAACAGTGATTTAATTGAAAAAAATAATATATAAGATAAAATTATATATTTTTTCGGATCAGATATTTTTCACCCTAAACCCGAACCCAATCCGACTCGAACATCACATTAAAAAAATCCAACCTGAACCCGATTTTTTTAATAAATTCGACCCGATCGGATCGGATCAAATCAGATTGAAAACTGTCGGATTCAGGTCCCATACCCATCCCCAAATATACTCTATTTCTCCTCCACCTTCTCGCCCCCTTACTTCTTTCCCTTGCCTCTATGATAAATTTCTACATCAACATAAATAAAAAATAAAAATGCATTTTAATTTGCAATAGCATAAACATAACTAAGTTTGTACATCACAAAAACCCTAGTTGTTGTCTCTTTTTCTCTATCAATCGTGACCTTTTCTATCTTTTGATTGTGCCGACCACGACACTAATTTTTAAATTGGTTGTCAACTATCGATGTTTATCTTTTTTATATTTTTATATTTCATTTTGGATTTTTTTTTTAGTTTTTATTTTAATTTTTAATAAAAATATCTTTTGTTTAACTTCATGCTTTTCGCATCACGTATTTATCTATCTTTTTCACACGTTTTACCTATGTTCTTATGCCACGTTTTACTATGCTATTGTGAAACGTTTCATTTGTCTTATGACATGTTGTTTGTCCACCTCTTTGATATATATATATATGATTGTATACAGATTCTCAAGGGCATATCTAGGTCTAGGCCTACCTAGGTCATGACCCACACTACGCCAAGAAATGAAAAATTACTTATTCAGTTACTCATTAATTAATTAATTTTTATTTTGGTCAGATAACTATTATTTATTTTAAAACACACTTAATGTTACGTTTTGGTTATATTTTGATCACTCATCTTTAAAAAATTAGTGGTGATGTTGACATATCATCATAAGATAATACTATGTTATGATTGAAAAATTATTAAAAAATGTCATGTTAACATCATTGTTAATTTTTTTAATAGTGTGTGATCAAAATGACATAATTTTTTTAGTGTGTGACCAAAACATAAATTAAGTAATAGGTTAGTGACACAATACGAAGTTTTGAGAAGACAATAATAGTAGACACGATATAAATATATATCAATTATGGTTTCTGATCAAAATCAAATACAGATACAAAGCGTTGAAATTTTCATAATTTCTCTCTTTCAGATCACTTATTAACGACGATCTTCATGAGAATATTCTTCAAGAAACTCCTACAAAACTTGACCAGCAAAAACAAGAAGAAGAAGAAGAAGAATGTTTTGAGAAAGATAGAGAAAAAAAAAGGATGACGATCAAGAAGAAACTGCGGCACTGAAAAAAGATGATGGTGATGAAAACGACGACAAAGACGATGAAGTGGCGGCATCGAGGAAAGATGACGATGGGGATGAGAAAGATGACGACAACGGAGACGATGAAGTGGCAGCATCGAGGAAAGACGATTATGGTGATGAAAACGACAATGATGATGACAAAGACGATGAAGTGGCGGCATCTAGGAAAGATGATGATGAAGAGAAAGAAGTAGAAGAGTGTAAAACGGCAACTTCAAGTGATCATAAGATACCAATGATCTCAAGTTGCCCACCAACACCTAGGAAGAAAGCGATGATAAGCTTAAACTCCCAGCAAGAGAAAATTAACAGAGTTGTTCTTCTTTGAAACTACAAGGAGTGAAGAGGCTGTAGAGTCTTTATTTCGATCAAATTCTAATTTATTTTCTGTTGCTGCTGCGGAGCCTCTTAGCTGCAAGAGGAGATGTAGGAGTGCCTGATTTCTCATGTCATTAAATTTTGTATGTCAAATTTAATTTCTTGGAGTTGATTAATTACCCTTCTCTCTTCCCTTGCTGCTGTTGCATATTACGATCAAATATTTCTTGAATTATCTCGATCGGTGAAAAGATATGGGGGGAAACATTATAGTTTGAGGTGTCTTGTTTCATTTATTTTTCCCATTTCACTGTGAATTTTGCCACTTTCAAAGTTCCCATGGCTGCATGTAAGTTTCACTTATGTTATTGGTAATTGTGAGAATAAATAAAACTTCTTTTTAAAGTTCAACTTATGTTGTTCCATAAATGTTCAATATAGATATGTTTAGTTTTCAAAATTTTAACTATTCATAACTGTTGATAATAATATTTGAGATTGTGGCCGCAATAGATTATTCACTTCTCTTTTATTTAGGCGAAAACCCGCAATTGGTGATTTTACCATATGAGACTGGTCTTCGGATGAATCATAATTTTTTTCTTTAAATTAAAAGAGAGGAAGAAGAAGAATAAGAAGAAACATAATTTCCTTTCTCAATCTTACAAGAGAAATTTTAAATCGACCCCTAATGTTAGTGTTAGACCTAATGTCATGATACCTATTTGTGACCTAACAAGTAGAATAGATATGATCGTGCATTAAATTTGATTGACATGTTACGTGGATTTGTCAGAGGTTATATCAAAGATCGTTGTTGATCGAAGGATTCAATCATAATTTTTTTGAAGGCTTCTATTGGTGGAGTGGAAGCCGAGATATGACTCACGAAAAAGATCTAAAGAAGGAATACACTTGTCTTTCTAGTCGAGAGAATGTCATAAAATAATTTGATCCAAGATTTACTTGTGGAAGCGGTTTTTTGTATTTAATGAATATTTTTGGGCAATCATCATGATGATTTCTCTTAAATGATTTAGTGGCTTGTACACATGTGGCTCTATAATTAGCATAGTGAATAGGCGTGGTATTTCGATCGTTAGGAAGGTATTGCGTCCTCTGGCTATTTAGGGGGATTTAAGGACAAATCTTTAGTTTTTCTTTCTTTTGCATTTGATTTTCAACATGTTGCATTCTCTCTACAAAATTTTATTGTTTTCTTTTTGAAATTTCTTGTTGAAATGATGAAGAAAAACGTCGCGAAGGAAGTGAAAAGATTAGAGAAGAATGTGGATCTTTGGCGGACGATGATTTGTTCGTGTGCAAAACTGTCTGGAATGAGGCCAAAAATTAATTGTTGAGTTATGATTTACTGTGATAGAACTTCGAGTTTTAGTTTGATATTTCCTCAGGGTTGTGTTTACATGAGTGATTGTGGCTTGAGCATCGGGAGTGGTTTTATCTTCCTCTATTCGCTCCGGAGGCTAGATTTCATTCCATCTCCTGTTACATAACTCGGTGAAAGATGTAATGAATACCTACAAGGTAGCTCTGAATCAATTGGTCGGAGCTTCTTGGTAGATCCTTACTGGGTATTTTATTCCTTATCGACGGAGGAAATGGGTGCCTTAGATGATCGCATTTTAGAATATTTGTTCACGCCTTCTAAGTTTTACGTGGAGGCATGCAAAGGGCTTTGAGATTGGTGAGACTATTCTAGGTTAGGGTAGAAACCAAAAATTGGGCTTGGATCGCTCCAGATTTATTAAGGTAACTCAAAAATTTCTCTAAGGCTTTGACTTTTCTCTTTGGTCGAGCAAACTCGATCAAATGAAGAGTATTGTTGTATCACGATTATAAAGAAAATATGAGTAGTTTTCCTTGTTGAATACGGGTTGGCGAGTGGTCGTCTCGGAGGAAATTTCCATTTGAAATATCTTCATGTTTTGTCTTTGGGAAAGAATCTGTTTAAGATTAGAGATGTTTTAGTTGGGGGCATTTGTGATTGCAAGAATATGTGGCCCTACGAAAGAGGAGACGAACCCAGGGTCAGAATATTCACTTAGTGATGACCTTAGTAAGGTTGTAAAGTTTGGCGTTGACATTTTTTCCAGAGAAGAAAGCGATACAAAGGCTATTGTAGCTGAAAGTAATAAAGTGAGCAAGACTATTCCGCAAGATATTCCGAGGTCATCTACTATTCCTTCGATATATATACATGATAATATCACTAGTCATTTTAATACTTATTATTGCATTGATGTGTTATCATCGTCATCGGAGGAAGCTGAGGAACTATCAAGGCTGTTAAATGTTGCCCTTGCATGTTTTTCTCCCGGGTGGTTATTGTCGACTGAGTGGATCGTTAGATGAAGTTAGGACAAGGGGAGCTAGGTCATGTGTAGAGACATTATGGGAGGAAACCCTTTCTTAATATCTTTATCCTTCGATTAATCCTTATATAACTACTCTTCCTTTAGTGGTACATTCCAATGTTCGTTATTCATTGTTCATCGAGTAAGTGTTGTTTACTCGTTTCCTTTTTGTAAGGGTCGGAATGACTCGCTTTATTGGAGTGGAGGTGCGTTCAAGTTCTCAAACGAAACATGGGTTCTCAGCGAACTTACCGGATAGCTACTCCTCTTTTGGTGGTTGAGGCAAACCACCATGTGAAAGATGAGGGAGAAGTGACTCATCCGACTAAGAATATCAAGAGAATTCCTCTCAAGGTGCTTCTTTGGCTGAGGCTGAAGCGCAGCTTCCAATGGAGGAGATTAGTGTAAAGATAAATCCTTCGGAGACGCTCGCAATGATTCTAGTATGTGCCCATCCTTTTTACTTGTCATGCAATTATTTGAAGATATATGGTCTAATCAACTCTTTCAACTCCATAACTAAAATAAAATCGTTAGAACGTGTAATTTATCCATAACTAAGATATATGGTTTGGCCTCATATCTCTACTAGGCACCTACAGTGGACCTGGTCCACTAACATGTCTAGTCCTAAAGGACTTGAGACACAAACTTTGACTTCTAAGTCATTGGCTGGGATATTTATCTCTCTGATAAGATCACGACAAATATAGGAATAGATTGACTCCTAATCTACCAAAGTAGTAACAGGCATACCAAAATCTGTAAATATACCTGGGATGACATCAGCGAACTTACAGTCTTCCTAAGCTTTGACTGCATATTGATGAGAGGTAACCCTAGCCTCAGGACCGACTCCAGATCTAACGGTACCCTGTTAAACTATATTTTGATATAACAATTAAAGTAAAATGTTTTTGGACTTGAATTGAATTTGTTCAAAGTTTTCAAAAAATAATTCAAAGTCAATTTTACTTGGAATTGAGCATAAAATACGTTTTTGTACAAGTAGTACTGATACTGTTATTACAGTATCTATACCTCATGAACAATACCAATATTGTTCATATGGTACCGATATCAAAGGTAAGGGAAATATCGATACTCACTAGGTAGTATCGATACTACCAACAATGCTCAAATTCTAGAATACAAAAATGGTATTGATACCCAAACGGGTATCGATACTACTTTGTATAGTAGTATCAATATCATAGACATAGTATCGATACCATCAGGCCCCAACGGCTAGTAATGGCTAGTTGATTTAAATATAAATAAAGGTAGTACCGGTACTCCATTTAAGAGTACCAATACCCTCTGTTCTGGGCAGTTTTATTTTGCACAAAAATTGATCTTCAACGTCTCCAAAATACCTCCAACGGCTAGAAACGGCCACAACAATATTCCATTATATAAATACAAGTTCAAGACACTTGAAGAATGGTTAGAACACCTATCCAAGCAATCAAACACAAGAGAAGAGCTTTTCACTCTTAATTTCAATTCTCTTATAAATATTTGTGTTTTAGTGAGCTTAATTGTTTGTAAATAACTACCTTTGAGAGGACTATTTGTTTACTTCTTTTATCCTTTTGTAAAGGCGTTTTTTGTTCTATCTTAGCCAAGTAAAAAGATAGGGAGTTTGTAAAGGTTATTCTTGATCCTTGAGAAAGAAAGAATAAATTAGTGAATTTGTTAGAAAATCCTTAGGGAGGAGCTAAGGTAGTGGAGATAGACTTGGTTGATAAGTCGAACCACTATAAATCCTTGTGTTATATTTTCTCTATCTTTTGCTCTCCTTACTCCCTAAATATTTTATTGCCAATTCACCACCTTGTGTAATTTTCAGTTGTTCAATTGAGTCTCTTCGATCCTAACAATTGGTATCAGAGCATTAGAATGTTTAATCACTTTGAGAAAATCCTAGAAATCGATTCCCAACGTAACCGACAAAGATATGGCTTCAACCTCCGGTACCTATTACATTAAAGATTCACAACCAGTCAACAAACCACCCTACTTCAATAGAGCAAATTATGCCTATTGGAAGAATATGATGACGCTCTTCATTCAAGAAAATGATTTAGGAGCTTGGAACTCTATCATGAAAGGTTACAACATTCCAACCGACGAAATGGACGATTTGAGTGATAGAAAGAATAAGAAGTTCAAACTCAATGCTAAGAATATGCATATTCTCTTTTGTGTATTAGGCCCGGATGAATATGGAATAGTCTTCTCTTGTTCCAATGCCAAAGAGATATGTGATAAGCTCCAAGTCACTCATGAAGGAACCGATGAAGTGAGGGAAACCAAGATAAGTCTTCTCAATCATAGCTACGAGAATTTCAAGATGAAACCCGATGAAGACATCTAAGCTATGACAGGTAGATTTTTCGTGATTGTCAACAATTTCAAGGGATTTGAAAAAGTAATCCCTAATGAGAAGCTTATGAGGAAGATGATATACTCTCTTCCAAAGTCTTGGCAATCGAAGAAGACGATGATTATAGAAGCTAAATACCTAAAGTCTTTTACTCTCGACGAGCTAATTAGTTCTCTTCTCACTCATAAGTTGATGGTGAAAGAAGAGGAAGAAGATGAAGAGAAGCAAAACAAGAAGAAGGAGGAG